CATGAGCAAACCCTGCAATGCTTTGCTATCCCAGGTGCCTCTGTGGCACCCAGACTAGCCTGGATGGGCCAGTTTCTGCTCCGTGCTTCACAGCACCGAGAGCGGCTTGTCCCTTGGTCCCACTCCTTCCTCTGGCCTCCCAAAGGATGACAGTGCAGAGAAGCCTCTCCAAGCCCGCGGGGTCGGTGTGGGAGTTTGCACACCCAGGCCACAACCGGACACCTGGGGAGAGAACCTGCACCCAAGGGACGTGATCGGTGTCACCATGACCTGCCCTCCCCGGGCTCTCCTTCCCCAGGCGCCCTTCCAGCGGGCACTGACTTTGGGAGCGCGGTATAATTATCTGCAGCATTTTCAACAGCCCCACAATGGCTTTCCACGGGCGGTGCATTGTTCTTGACACACATACATTGTTCCTGCATGTCCATCAATTCTCATTTACTTGTCACGGTGCAGGAAGCATGGAGAAGGGAAAGGAAGGGGAGGGCGGGGGAGAGGGGAAAAACTCAACCCCACTGCAGCAGCAGAGCTTGCAAGGTCGAGGCTGCCTGGCTGCTGTCTTGTATCTCTGTGAGCATCTCCAGGCAAAGATACGAGCTCCGTGGGGATAGAAAGAACAACTGGAGAGGCATTAGCTTGTAGCATCGACTATTACTTTCACCCTTGGAGAAAAGCCCGAATCAGGGCTCTACTGACTGAAATGTTGCAGTCAGGTTAGTTGGACTAAGGCAGTGAGAGATATCACTTCTCTTTGCAGATCTTACTTGGCTTTAATTCTTAACCCATCGAGGTCTGCAGTAACACTGCCGGGAACAAGTAATGAGTGTGCAAACCCTGCTATTAGTCCCACTGATGAGTGGGGTTTTGTAACACGGCTTCTCGTACACGTCCTCCCACACTCCTTCCCACACCGCAGTCTCATGCTCCGGTCCCAATTTGCTATCCATGGCACCAGGAGAGATGCTATCAGAGCTGGGGCGGCTCAGATACTTGTTGTCTGACCGGGGACATGGGTGATAAGGGCTTTAAGGGGTCGGGAGGACCCCTGGGCCCAGCACAGTCCACTCGGTATAGCCGCATCTTCGAGGTGGAAAGTCGTGATTTGTGTTTGCAGGACTGGGGACTTCCAAGATTGCTGCATAGGCTGGCAGGAAAGTCAGGGGTCCAAAACGAGCACAAGATGAGATAATGAAATCCTACAAGTTTTATGGAAGGGATATATCCAAAATCACTCATGGAGCAGAGCAACTGCCCCAGAACCGAGCCCGCAGCTTTGTCTGAGCTTGCCCTGAAGTCAGGGCTTGGGGAGAGAAGTTGTGCCGCACAGACCCGGGCAGACGCACTGTCGTCTTCCCAGAGTGTTTTGTTTTTTAGAGCCTCAGTTATAATTTGTAACAGTGGAACGGCTCCTAAACACTGCGTTTCCTGGACGTTAAAAAACAAAAGCGAAAAAAAAACACCTGAGAAAGTTGCGGGCGCAGCATGAAATAATACCCGGCGTAAGATTAAAATAATTATGAAAAGAACAATATGTATTTGCTTTTATCCACGCTGTAATTATAAACGCTTTTTAAAGGATACTCTTTATTCATACCACTGGTAGGAAGTCAAAAAGTGAGAGAATCGCTTTCGTAGTACTGGTTTGATATGACTTTTAATTAAGGACTGCGTGCCCCTAATTTATTAAGGCTCATCTATTCATCACGTGTGTAATTGACGCTGGAAAAAAATAATAATTACAGATCTAACCTCTGCAGAGTGGTTTTGCCCGACTTGGATCCTGCTGCCGTGGAAACGCAAACAACAAAAAACCACCCTATTAGGATGAAAAACGAGCGGCGCAAACAGGCTCCAGAGTTTCTCCGCGGGGGCGTTTGGCTGAGTGGGGGTCCGCATCCCTCATCCTGCATCCCTCGTCCCGCATTTCCCATCCCGCATCTCCCATCCCGCATTTCCCAGCCCCGCGGACTCGGGAAAGCGACGCGTTTCTGTGGGAGCCGGTGGGGGGAGGCGGGCAGACTCCGCTCCGGGACGGGCGGCGGTACCCGACGGGGCGGCGGGGGGCCGGGAGGAGCCGGCCGAGCCCGGGAGGAGATGGGGGGCCCCGGGAGGAGCCGGGTGGGGGAGCAGGAGGGGCTGGGTGGCCGGGAGAAGATGAGGGGGTGGGGAGGAGCAGAAGGGGGGCCGTGAGGAGCCAGGGGAGCCCCGGAGTAACTGGCGGGAGGCCGGGAGGAGTCGGACCGGCGGCGGGAGAGGGAGCAGATCCGCGATCCTCTGAAGTTTCCTCTTCGCCTCATCATCAGCCTTAATTACCGCGGCGGGTTTGTTTTTTTTTTTCCCCTGGCTTTGCTATGATTACAGCCCTTGGACGGCTCCTTAATAGTAGCGCTCCGCGGGCTGCCCGTGTCATTAACTCCTAATTCAATCCGGGGGGGGGGGAGGAGGAAACACCCCAAACAGCATCACCCAAAAAAACCGGAGGGAGAGACTGAGAGGCGGTTTGGTCCCGCCCCCCGCGCGCCGCGAGCCAATGGCGTGAGTCACCGAGGCACGTCAGGGGCCAGAGCGGGCGCTGATTGGCCCGCGGGGCGTTCCCTCGGCTTCCCAAAGGAGGACAGCGCCGGCGAGCCCCAGAGGGGGAAAAGGGGGGCGGCCGGGCCCGCAGCGCCTCACTCGCCGGGCAGAGGCGCCGCGCAGCTCCAGAGCTCCCTCCGCACCGCCATGGCTTCTCCTTCCAAGGCGAAGGAGGTCTTCTCCTCCGACGAGGAGGGCCCGGCGGCCGGCGGCGCCGAGGAGCACCACAAAGTGAAGGTGTCCAGCCTGCCGTTCAGCGTGGAAGCGCTCATGTCCGACAAGAAGCCCCCCAAGGAGCCGCCGCTGCCCGCGCCGAGCGGCAGCGCCGACGGGGCGGCCGTGGGCACCTCCAGGAACCTGCTGCTGTCGGGCCACGGGTCCCGGGACGCGCACAGCCCCCCCGGGGCGCTTACAAAAACCTTCGACACCGCCTCGGTCAAATCGGAGAACTCGGAGGACGGCACGTCCTGGATCCAGGAGGCCGGGAGATATTCCCCGCCGCCAAGTGAGTGCCCGGGGGAGCGGCGGGAGCTGCGCGGGGAGCGAGGGCGGGCGGGCGGGCACTGCTCCGGCCCCGGGCTCCGAGCGCCGAGATGCCCCGGAGCACGCGAGATAGAGACGTGTAGATCTTATATTTCATCGTAAATTTTATATTCCCATCCCTGGAAGTGGTCAAGGCCGGCTTGGATAGGGCCCTGAGCAACCTGGTCTAGTGGAAGGCATCCCTGTCCACGGCAGGGGTTTGGAAGGAGATGATCTTTGGGGTCCTTTCCAACCCAAACCGTCCTGCGATTCCATGATAATTTGTATATGTATTCATATCTACGCGTGTGTAATTTTTAGGTCTATGTTACATATTTTTTCGCATGTATGTTAGGCTTATATATTTATATGGTTATGTATTTCTACATTTATATATTTATATATATGACTGTATGTATATATATAAATATATACTGCTTTCAAAACCATAGAAAGATCAGAAAATACCATGGACCAGCTCTCTTTCCTGACACGCTACTCTCCGGCTGCCGGTTCGTCCATTTAGATTATCCCATTGTAACAACAACTGGAATTTCTCCCTGATACCTTCTGCCTTACAAGGTGCACAGCAACCTCTTAAAGCCGGGAATTGTCCCTTCCAGCCTTGTGCGCTCTCTCCGCGCTGGCTCCCGCCGCCGTGACTCCCGACACGGGGTTGTTCCTCTCTCCCTGTTTCCCTGCAGCTTGTCAAAGTTCCCCGATCTAGGCCTGACCTCTTTACCCCCTGCGATCTCTCCCGACCCCGTCCCCACTGCCTTAGGGACACGCGATCCGGAGGTGACAGGTCACTTCTTAAACCCTTTTGCACTTCGAGCCGCGCTGCTGTGCCTGCGCTGAATCGCATTTCGCTTCGGTGAGATCCCTTAAAAAAACAGGGGGGAAATTGCTTTTAAGAAATCAAAAGCCCCAAAACTACCTCCAGGAGAAGGAGAAGAAGCATCCGGGCGATTCTGGGCTTTCTGCCTTCCCACGGCCAGGAGCCGTGGCGGCCGTACACCTGTATCAGTGGATCGATCCGCTCTCCTCCGTGCATCCCTAACTTGCCTGATGGAAATTAAGTACTCTGCTTTATATAAGTTAGAGACTCTACAGAAACAAACTGTTGAGCCGGACAGTCTCGCAGAATTTGCTCCTCAATCTAATACTGCAGAAGGAAGTTTAGTGCTATTACAGCTCCTCTTTTTTGTTGTTGTTTGTTTGGGGGGGTTTGTTTTGGATTTGTTTTTGGTTTTGTTTTTTTTTTTTTTTTAACAATCATTTCGATTTGGCTTTCATCCACTTCCTTTCATTTACTGCCCCCGAATTAATTTGATTTCTGTCATGCTGGGAGAGGGCCCGGGAGAGGGCAGGAGGAAAGCATCCTGCCCGTGGCATTCCCTGTGTAGCTCCAATTTTCAATTTTCGTGTACCTTCAAGTATGCTGAAAAACCGTGAAAAGAAGTCTGTGCTTCTGCCCGGACCCCCTTCTCTAAATCTGCCTGAAACCCCAGACTTAGACAAGGCCTAATATTCTCCCTCTACATTTTTCCTCCCTCGAAATTCCTCTCCTTTCTCTTTTAAATCGGCTGTTCTCGAGATCTGCAAAATAGTTTCATAAAGGACTTCAGTAGCTGGGAGTTCTGGTAATTTCAGCGGGATTTGGGGCAAAAACCGATAATCAGGGAAGGGAAGGTCCTTCGGCCTCGACCATCTCCCTCATTTCCCACCTCCTGGCGTTCGGCCGCTCGGCAGGAGGCAATGACCAGTTCTCCCTCAGGAATACCATCTCTCTGTGGAGGGTTTCGACTTTAAAAACAGCTCCTCTATTTATAATTATTAATATTACGGGTAGAATGAACTGGGGAAAAAGTTGTAAAAGTTAGAGTTTTGAGCAACGCGGAGAGGGGACCCTCTCCAAATAATTACTTTTGTCCGACATTGCCCAGAAAAAAGAGGATAAATAGAAAAAAACCCCAGCGAAACAAATCAGAGCAGCGAGGGCTTGAGGACTGGAACGGGATAAACGCAATTGCAGAGTCTGCGGTGACGACCGTCCCTCCTGCTTATCAGAGTTCGGCAGTCACTTGGGGGGATGGTGAGGGAAGAAGCCCGGGAACGCTTGGGTGTATCCCGGGGGAAATATTTATCCGGGATTTAATTTAAAAGCATGTTTTTGTGGTTTCCCCCGTGTGTAACAGCAGTCGGGTCGGGTCGAGCTGACTCGACAGCCGGGAAAGGCGCTGGGTTGAGGATTGACGGTTCCCCCTCCAAACCCTGTCCCTGCTGGAAGCGGCCCGGTAGCTGGGTCTTGGGAAAATTTCACTTAGGGAAAAGAAACGGGTTGTGTTTAAAAATAGAGTAGAACAACGGGGTGACTAGCAGTGAATTTAGGGTCCATTTAGTGTAGTTTGAATTTAGCATAGTTTTAGAAGTGAACCAACTGTCACAGTGAGCACCTTAATTATTGGAATGCCCTGGTGTGATCACAAGACAGTATCTGACAAGTTGTTTTCTAAGAGAGCTTTGTTTTCAGTATCTAAAGGAAGGATAATAAGACAAGTTTAATTTTTTCCACTGTAACTGTTTTCTCCCTCACCTTTCTGAGCTTTTGAACACTTTCCTTGTGGGATTTTTTAATTGCATGATATGTACTTAAAAAGCTTCTTGATCCAGCCTATTTCAAAAAGTAGAAGAGAAAAGTGAACGAGTCCAGAAAAAATAACGTGCAAATACTGACAAGCATTTGAACCAGACACTACAGTGTGTACAAGATTTAGCAGCCTCTTTAGAGCAGGCTGTGTGTCATTTGCTGTACCAAGCTGGGGAGCCAGGGTGACTTGCCCCGGGAATTATGCGGAACACAGCCAAATTGCTCAGCTTTTGAAGTTAGCTGCCTGCTTCTTATTCATTCTCTAGACTGTAAAATTATTAGTGAAATGCAAAATTAATCTAAAGACCTAAACTGATCTAAAGTCAGCCGTGTGCCATTCCAGGTACATGTGCCTAACCCGGTTGGGGATTTAAGGTGGTAGATTTCCTGACTTGTATGGACTACAAATGCTGCAGTTAGGAGGCTTTTTGTTTTGTTTTAGTTTTAATTAGCAAATATAATAAAACCCAAAAATGTTGAATGAAAAGTACACTGCTTTCTTGGTTTTGTTGATACTTTTTGAAAATCAGAAAATACTCACTGAAAAGTTAATAAGCAGAGGAAAAACTCCATCTTGAAGAAGAAATATCAATAAAAATGCCTAGTTAGTGAAACCAAAAAAATTGTCAGACCCACTTCTTCAGCTATCAGAAAAAAGATAGGGTGCTTAGTGGAGAAATCTTGGACCTAGGCTGTACTCTTCTCTCGCTCCACTGTCCTTTTGTGAATCTCCTGCCTTTGCGATGTTTGTGCTGTGCTTTGCTGGAGTTACACCTCCAGTTCTGCAGCTACCAAAACAGCTGGTTTGTGTGCTCTAGACCCCTATGATGTGACTCCTAAAGTGATCCGTGAATCCCTTGTGCCCTATCTACCCTTTTGAAATCACTGAGCCAAAATTTCGCTTCCCAGGACATCTGCTGCTTTTACCAGAAAAAGATTTCCAGAGCCACTTGCAAAAGGATCCTCTGTTTTCAGGGTCCCACTTGGAGGCCCATCAAGCACAGCATCTCTGCAGAGCACCCAGGTCTCCTTGCTTTTGTGATAACTGGCCTTTCCCTTCCTTGCAGGACACCTGAGCCCCACTGCCTGCACCCTGAGGAAGCACAAGACGAATAGGAAGCCCCGAACCCCGTTCACCACTTCCCAGCTGCTGGCTCTGGAGCGCAAGTTCCGCCAGAAGCAGTATCTGTCCATCGCCGAGAGAGCGGAGTTCTCCAGCTCCCTCAACCTCACAGAGACCCAGGTCAAAATCTGGTTCCAGAATCGGAGGGCCAAGGCCAAGAGACTGCAGGAGGCTGAGCTGGAGAAGCTCAAAATGGCAGCAAAGCCCATGTTGCCATCGGGGTTCAGCCTCCCTTTCCCCATCAACTCTCCCATCCAGGCTGCCTCACTGTATGGAACATCCTACCCTTTTCACAGACCTGTGCTTCCTATCCCTCCTGTTGGACTCTATGCTACTCCCGTTGGATATAGCATGTACCACTTATCCTAAGAAGATCAGAAAGACGAAGTGACAGTAAGACAGACTTCCTGGTGGATCATGTCCAGCCCTGAGAAGGCAGTACCCCAACCAGTACTGGCCATTCCTTCTGCACGCTTCTATCTGCCATCCTGAGTGTATGGGAGTTTGTGCTAGCAAAGCAAGGCATCCTGTATGCTACAGGTTGGGCGTCTTCTGAGAGTGCTCTGAGCACTCAGAGTCTGATCCTCAAAGAAAAAAAAATTGTAAAAACAAGCAAACAAAAAAGAGAGAAAAAATATTTGAGCAAATGTAGGGTTTTTATACAGTGCACGTAAAACTAGACTAAAAAAGAACGGGTGGAAAGGCAATTTTATCTTATGGAGGCAGAGATTTCCTGACACCTTCCTGACGGGGCCCAACACAGGTTTAAATTTAGAGGGGTGCGTGCCCTCACACCACACTCTAAGTTGCCATCACTTAGTATGGGGGCAGTGGGGAGGGAAATAAAAAGGTATAATCAACGTTTTGTTGTTTGGTTGTTTTTTTAAAGAAAGCAGAGCCTGTAGCTAGAGACACCGTGTAAATAGAAGCTAGACCCAGTAGAGTCTCAGTGAAGTTCAGAGCCAGCAAATTCCTGCATTTCTGAGGGTAGAGAAAATTTTTGCATCCCAAACCTCGGCAGATGAGTGCAACAAGATGAGCATCAGGGCGCCTAAATGTAGAGCCCAGCTTTATCCACCATGGCTCCTGTAATGCCTTTATTTGTATAAATAGCTTCAGCATTTGTAAAGCACTGTGAGGGGAGGTAAAGTGCAAGGAAGGGTTATTAGGCAGTCTGGTCTTTATCTCTTCCTATTGGCATGCTTTGAAATGTTTGGCTACAGCCAGGTAATCTTGGCTCTGCAATGTTCTTTGAAAACCAGGAGAGAGGGAAGGAAGCTTTCCGGGGAAAGAAGACGTGGGTTGTTTCCACAGTGCTGGAGAGCAAAGGATTGTTGAACAATTCTGGTAGATGTCTGGGGTTTTTATTAGTATTTGCAACAGCCTGTATTAAATAGAAGAACCCTCCTGAGTCTTCCTCTTCTTCGCTTGCTAAGGATGCCAATATAAGTGACTCATGCTTCAAGCCCTTCTAAAGAGAGATCCAGGTATCACAAACAATCATCCCTACAAGTAGGACGGTGGGGTGCCAAGAGACTGCGTAACCTGTCTGTCCCCGTGGGAGCTCCCTGAGTGCTGGCAGTAACTTCCCCAGGCTTCTTCTTATAACTATTGTATTATGTGTATTACTCTTGCTAAACTTTATGAGGAAGTTACTCCAAAGGCTGTGGAGCACTGAAGTTGGAACTTCTCCTGGATTTATTTTCTTAGCATGCTGTTGTGGAAGAAAGAAACAAAACAAAACAAAAAAAAATCAGAAAAAAAAAATAGAAAGAAAAAAAAAGCCACGAGGTTTTGCTGGTTTTGGTTTGTTTTGACCCAGGCACTGATGCTGGGACCTACTATAGATGAACTTCCTCTTTCCCTTCCCCTCACCCCTAATCTACCATTATAGGAGAGTCCCTTTGAAAGGGATGCCTTGTACAATTTTATATATTTTATTGAAGATTTATTATTTCTTATCTCTTATTTCAAATTAAATTAAAAAAGAAAAAACATGTTTAATCGCGTGTGGGTCTGTTAGTGTTTGGAGTCCTTCAAAAGGTAACTTCTCTCCGTGTGTGTTTTGCACCGCTGGGTCAAGTTCAAAGGAATGTTTGGGTTGCCTTTATGATTATTTCCCCTTTCTGAATCTGAATTAAAGCCAAATTTGCAGCACATGAAGGTGAATTGCAAGTCAACAATTCGAAGTCGAAAGCCAAACCTTTTATGAGGTTTCCTTGTTTTTAACAACCACTTTTAGGCGCCTCTGTTCTTTACAACATCATACTCCAGTGATGTCTCCATCGCTTCTCTTAGCTCGTGTGCCTTCCTCTTTGGCTTGGGACTCTCTCTCCGACTCACCTTTCCATTGACCTCATCTCTAGGCTTTAGTAGGAGACTAGTGTCGGCCCCTACAGTAGTTGGGTGGTAATTTGGAACAGGTAAACCCTGCCAGGGGCCATGCAGTACTTCAGTCCAGTTGCATTTCAGGGCGCTCATGTGCTGTCGGCACTGTCCCGTAGTTTTCGGGCCAGGCTCAGAGAGCAGGTGCCAGACCTTTCTGGCGAGGGGGTCTCGGTTCTGCTCAGACAAAAGGGGTACCCGAGAGGTCAGGGGGACCGTGTTACACCCAAATCTTATGGTGGCCCAACGTAAATGCCGTCATAGGAGGGTCGCTGGGGTTAGGAGTAATGCTTGGCGTTCCCGCTGTGGGGACAAGGTGCGTTTGCCCGTGCTGGGACAGTCGGGCGGTTTAACCCGGGTGCGCTCTCCTCGCTCCAGTCGCGGGGCTCCCGAAGGCACAGCACTCCCGGCTCCCGCCGAGAGGAAGCACCGCGGCGGCGCTTCCCGGTGGGCACAGCCCGAGGCGCCGCCCAGCCCATCACGCCTGGCTCAGTATCCCGCCGGATCGGGCCGCTGCTGGGCGAGAAGGAAACCTCGAGGCGGGGAAACATCCCGCGATCTGGGCTCTGGGGAGGGGGCTGCGGGCCGGGGGAGCGGCTCGGGGAGCGCAGGGCATGGCGGAGCTCGCCCTGCTCACCCAACTCCCGACTCCGAGAAAAACCCCCGTTACCCTTCCCGCTTCACAACTGTAGGAAACAAAGATGGGGGAACCTAATATCCATGTAGACTCTTCAAATTAGCATTTACTGCCGCATAAAAACCGGAACCAACAGCTTCTTTCTCGGATTCCCTTTTCCTGAAGCATCATTCCCCTATATATAGGGCAAGACGAAGCCCCCTCTCCCCTGTCCTTCCCCGGCCGGTTGTCCCGAGTGCTTCCTTAGCTGGGCCGGGCTATAAATAAACCAGCGGTATTTTTTAACCTTCAGTATAAATCAGCTGTGTCAGGGATTACAGCTAAATCTTTTCGCTGGAAATTCTTTGAGCGCAGGAGCTTTGTGTGTGTTATGATAGATCCTTAAATGGATACAGATTTATTGCAGCACACAAGGGTGTTGAAGGAAAAGCTTCCAAATCTCGGTTACAACCTCTGCTATGGGAAAGGCAGGACGGATCCGTGACACCTTCTCCGAGCTTGCGGATGGCATGACAATTCACCCTGCGCCCATTATTAACTTGTTCCAATTAAAGCCTTCAGAAAGGCCGAGTTAATTGAGTATTATATTTTATTAGGAGGGAGGTGTCAAGCTATACTCATGAGACTTCATCATCGGCCTAATGGGAGCTGCCCCGCAGGCAGATCTGTAACTGAATAAATTACAGCAAGGCAGGGAAATCAGAATGCTATCATTAAAAGCGATGCACTTACTGAAATTCCTCCCCCACTTTCGCAAGAGGCTGTGGAGGTGTGGCTTTAATTAGTTATTTTAATGCAAAGTTAAATTGTTCCCAAAGTATTTTCTGACACAAAGCAGATGCGATGATTAGAAGTTGAGTGAGACTGAAAGGAGTTGGCATCTGTTCCAGGTACATCTATATGTTTTAAATTCCCAATAGAAAGTGAAAAATAATTAGAGCAATAAATAATAAACATTAAAAACAACGCGATAAATTATCCCGATCCTTAAAATCCGGACTTGCTGAGCGGCAGCTCAGGCCAGCCGGGCACAGAGCGGCTCTCCCGGGACCTTCATCACCAGGAATAGATTTGTTGACATAAACATTTGGGATTGGGCTTTCTGGTTCGCTACGGCCAAGCGTTCATTACCTAAAGCCACGGGTGCTCCGAGCCTGCATTTCATGTTGTCACATTGCCTTGTCAAACCCCGGAATTCCTGCATTTTATGGGGAAGGAGGAAAACTGGCTGGCTGGGAGCGGCGCGCCCGGGAGCGCGGGGGTTTCTCTCCGCCGGGCCCTCGCTGCGGGGCCGGGGGCAGCAGGCACCCAGCTCTGGGGGCAGCGGAGGACCCCAGACCCCACGGGCCGCACCGGCGGTGATGGGGTCGCTCCCGGCTGGGCACCGGCTCCCAGTACCGGCTGCGGGCAGCGGGGGCTCCGCTCAGGAGCGGACACCTGCCCGGCGGCCCCAGCGCGGGATGCGGGGGCTCAGGTGCCCCCCAGAGTGGGCAGAGCTGGGCGGCGATCGGAGCCTTGGAGCATCCCGGCCACAACAGCCCTGCAGCAGCATCCCGGCTCCCGGCCCCTGTGCGGACTGCCTGGCTCAGGCACCACCGCACCGGGGATTTACACGCACTTTTTTTACACGCATTCACACCCCGTGCGGGGACGCGCGTGTCTGTGCGCTCACACATCTCCGTAGGGGTGAGCTGTGCACCCCACATCTCCATACACTGTCTGTGCGTCTCGTCACACAAGTAACCACAGGCACCCGAACGCCCCATTTGCGCACACCTGGGATTTTGCAGGATTTTTTGGGGTGAGTGCTGGACGCGCACTGCAGGAGGAGGGGAGCTCATGGAGGGTGTGGGTGACAAAGCACGACCCACTCTCCTAGAAAACGCCAACCTCTCCGTCCCCCCGTGCTTGCGGAAGGGGCTTCAAGCCATGCACTCGTCCCCCGGGTGCGCGCAGCTCCCGCGCAAGGAGCCAGAGGGGCCGCGGAGAAGCCGCAGTGGATCCAGCTCCCACCGCCCCCGGTGGATCAGAGAGGGAAGTGAGCATTTTGCTTTCTCCCAAGTATATTTACCCTCTCTATTTATGTCCCGTTTAGTATTCCCGAAGACTAACATGGGTCTCTTCATCAAAAAAAAAAAAAAAAAAAAATCATTACACGGGACAAAAAAAATCCGCAAACAAATAAAACCCAGCATTCTTCCAGTGTGACTGTGTTTCTCCCGTTCCTACGATCACTATCAGCCACGGAGGCTTCAAAATGCCTTTTCCGGGGGTCACTTTGGAAGTTAACCTACTTTCGGCAGCGCCCACATTCTTGGCGTAGGAAGTCCCTCTCACAAAATAAAAACAAAGAGGTTATTCCGATTTTTTTTTTTTCCACTGCAGAGCAGGGGGCATATTTTTCCAGTCAAAAGCATTAGGGATCTCAGGGAAACTGCACAGCTCATCCCAGCACTGGGAAACCCAGGGGTGAGCCGCTACACGGTTCACGCTCCTTTTCGCTGCCGGACCCCGCCGCAGGGAAAGAGAAGGGGAACACTTTGGGGTCTTCTTTTGTTGTCGTTGAGCTTTTTTGTTTTGGTTTGTGGCTGACTCCCTTAGCCC